CCACCGACCATTAATAGTATTTTTTTTCGAATTGATGTTATTTTTTTATAAAACATAGGACCCCCGAACTACGGACGTTCCATGTAAACATAACAGCGATAAGAAATCCAGCGCCACTCTTGCTGAGATCCCCCCCCGAAAACGTATCGTACGCCGGCCCTCCTCGCCTGTGCTGTCACCAAGGCACAGATGAAGTGCAAAAAAAGCGCCTAAAGATAAGGTTGCACCATAAAATGGCGCTATTGCAGAACACGTTGCTCTAGATGCGAGCGTGATTGATCGCAAAAAAAATTAAATAGTGGATGAAATGTACTGCCAGTGATTTTTGCTAGCATTGCCGACTTAGGGAGGAAATGGCGGATGCGGGAGGATTCGAACCTTCAACCGCTTGGTGCGTAGCCGGTACTCTATCCAGCTGAGCTACGCGTCCACAGAGTAAGCCGTGTGGCAGATCTTACAAACTATAGAAACAAAAAAACCTGCATTAAGCAGGTTTAAATGGCGGACGCGGGAGGATTCGAACCTCCGACCGCTCGGTTCGTAGCCGAGTACTCTATCCAGCTGAGCTACGCGTCCATTCCGAGGCAAAAATGGCGGAGAAGGAGGGATTCGAACCCTCGATACCCTTTTGAGGTATACACCCTTAGCAGGGGTGCGCCTTCAGCCTCTCGGCCACTTCTCCGCGCTACGTTGCGGTGCGTATATTAAAGTCTTGGCAAAATAAGTCAAACAATTTTTCTAGCTGGAACGCGCGTTTGCTGACCTTTTAAACAATTTGACTATTAAATGACGCTTCCGCAGGTTTTTTGTACAATAAAACTTAATAAAACAATAATTTAAGATGCTTAGATTATTGATCATCATCCGAGCCGTATTGGCCTGGAGTCTCTTTTTCTGCTTGGATCCGCATATAGATTTCTTCACGGTGCACAGAAACTTCTTTTGGTGCATTCACACCGATACGAACTTGGTTACCTTTTACGCCTAACACAGTCACAGTGACTTCATCACCGATCATCAGAGTTTCGCCAACACGGCGGGTTAAAATAAGCATGCATCTGCTCCTTTTGAAATATTCCAGCTAACTTGCGACACCTTGCATACTGCAACGCGTCCTTGTCATTAATGATAACTCAGCATTCAACTGAATGAAAATAAAGCGAATTAATTATCGCTAATCAACATGTGATGCAACCGAGCTGCGGCTTGCTCTAGCAGCTCTGGCGACATCAACACCGACCAACGAGATTCTGTTTGTGCCATTGACCAAATTTGTACGTTCATTTGGTACAACAACGTCATCATGCGAGAAACTAAATCTGGTTGTGAGCGCACGCCAACTCCAACCACGGAT